GATAAGGTGGGGAAAAAGAAGAAGATTTCCTTAAAAATGATTTTATTGTAAAAAAGCGTGGGGTGCTTTTCAGGATATTATCAAAATAGCCCTTCTACTCATATCTGTTTATAAAATACTAGCGACCCGCCCTCGCTTCGCTTCCGGAACATTTAAAAACACATGAAACAAAAAAAAAAAAAAAAAAAAAAAAAAATAGTCGAAAATCGACTATAATTAATTGGAATTGTATGTTTGTACACTATTATGATTGTATTTTGTACTTCTATAATCACAAATTTCGCCAAAACTACACTATGAAAAATATTAATAAAGACAAACAATATTTAATCTATTCTCAATTTGACCACAGACGTCAAGAACAAAAGTTTGACAATAAATGGTATGCATGCGTGTGTGCGTCAAATACATTGTCATGGTATGTAGTGTGTGTAATGTTTTCTTTATTGATTTAATGTATCTTATATGCATTATTTTATAAAAATATTAGCATTATGCACTTCTTCTCTATATTCTCTATAAGTATGGAAAATTTCATACTCCTCCGTGCGCGCAATTTTCGTAAAAAGGGATACAAAGTTTTTGCTTCACGTATTAATATATAGATATAGAGTAGGTATAGTACGTAATTTTGTGTTAAATCAAATCAAATCAAAAAATGTTATTCAACATAAATGAAAGTACATACTTGTTGAACGTCAAAAGAACTAATAAATATCTGTAAAGCGGTTTATTCCTTGAATATTTAAAAACGTAGTAATTCCGTCGAACATATTGTTACAAAATACATTTACTTTAACATAAAGAAAAATCTAATTTTCCATTCTGAAGTTACGTAAAAAGTAAAACACAGTCTACCTTTAGTCTTCGTACGCCCTTTGAGACCAAAACTGTTGCTTACCTGTAAAGAAAAAAAAGAGTATTTAATTTAGCTTCATTCTGTGAAAAATCTTGAGGAGCTTGCTCCAAAGTTACTTACGGATATTAAATTTAGCCCGGTGTTCGATAATTAATATCGTCGCTGTCAAACCAAAATCTGGTATATGCAAAAACTCTATTTTGAATTAACGAGTAAAAACATTTTCGTATAAAATTTTATATGAAGGTGAATCTTTAAGAACTATATCAAATGAAAGCTATAGATAAATATTAAAGCTATAGACACATAACAGTTTTTTTTTATACGGTAGATAGGGCTGTGAACTATACGAGAAGATCAAAAAGTAAAAATCTCAAAAAGTGCACGTAGCAGATTTTGGTTTGACAACGACGATATGTTGCATTTTAAACAATAACTCTTTAAGGATTTATAGTTTGTGTCTTATAATAATATGCACGTCTTCATTAAGGGGCGCATATGTCTGACCTTCTAAACTGCTGCTTGTAGTTAGAAGTCTGTTCGACAGGCAGACACAGTAGAACATAACTTATAGTGGAATTTGTTAAACAAAGGTTGTAAATTAAATATCAATCGCGTGTTTAAAAGAAAGTTTGAATTCAGCTCACGCCGGCTGATTGATGGCACCGTCACTAATTGTAAAGCAATTAGGTAGCAACTCCTCGTTAACAAACACACAATAGCTACATTTTATTTTCAATTCAAGAATGTTATTTAATTCGTGGCTGTTCGAAATGATTTCCTTTTGTTTGTTGTTTTTGACAATATAAATGTCAAATTTGATTTTTAATTCTTTTTTTTTTTTTTTTTTTTTTTGGAGTTTATGGCCTGGTATCTAGACCTTTAGGCCAAGTCTTAAGTATTTTTATTCAGTTTATTATAATTTCCCCACTGTATTTTTGATGAATTTATATAGAGGCACGTAATAGGATCTATTTTTTAACATATCACTCAGGCGGCGGGAGGGATCTTGCACTGTCACTTGATTTTGCACTATGTCACTAATTTCACTGACAAGAATCAATCTGTCAAACGAAAAGCACTCACATTTAAATATGAAATGTTCGATATCACCAACCGAATCATTGCAGAAGGTGCAATAGCTGCTCTCCACTATTCCCAACCGAGCTAGGTGGGCTGGGACGGTCGAGTGACCAAAACGCAGTCTGTTTATAATCGTAATAAAGTCCCGACTGGCCATTTTCAGTTTGTTATACCATGGTGCTACAGGTAGATTTGTTTGAACATTTCCATACCATTTACCCTTCTGTTCTTGGTCTTGTTTCCAAAATTCGACCCATAAATTATTGACCTGGTTGTCAATAGTTTGATAACAGTCAGTCAAAGGTACTTTTACTATGGAGCTAACATCCAACATGTTGGTTCCATCACGTGCAATTTTATCTACTATCTCATTTCCTGTTATGTCCCTATGTGATGGAATCCACATGAAAGAGACCTGTATACCCTTTTGTGCATAACTAAATAACAATTTTTTAATATTATACAAAATATAGTTTTTTTTAAAGTCAAATCTGAGATTGGTTAAACTTTGGACCATACTTAAACTGTCTGTTAAAATTAAAAAGTTATTAAAACTATTTATACGTGCGATCCTCTTCAGAGCTTCGAGGGCCGCATATACCTCTGCAGTGAAAACACTGCATTTAGGGTCCAGAAGAAAGCTTTGACCAAACTTAGATTGGGGATCATAAACAGCACTGCGCACAAAGAGTTCACTTTTACTACCATCTGTATACAAAGTATAGTAGTTATTGTTGGAAAGAAAACTTAACAATTCACTATTATTAAAAATTTTTTTAGTAACAATATTGGTCTCAAATATAATACAGGAATATGGGTATGAGTAACATGTCCACTTTGATTGTTTAATTACATTTTTAAAATCTTCATTCATTTGCAGTACAATGAGAGGCAGAATTGGGAAAGAACCTCGTAAAAGCTCACCTCCCGAAGTCTGCTGGGCTGAGCATTGTACAGGAAAAGGTACTATTTTTTTGAGAACATTATCATTACCAGATAACAGCTTTAGTAAATATCTCTCTATTAGCAAAAGTCTTCTAAGACACAGTGGCATTATTTTGGTTTCAACTTCCATAGCTCGTATGGGAGTTGAACACATAGCCCCAGAAATAATTCGCAGAGCTTTGTTTTGAATTATGTCTAGTTTTTTTACACAACTACTATTTGAGTAGGCTAAACAACTGTAGTCGAAGTGGCTTCTGACTATAGATTTATATAGCATACTTAAAACATTGGGGTCTGCACCCCAAGACACACCAGCTAAACATCTTATAATATTTAAGCCCTTAAGAGAGTTAGTTATAATGTGATTGATGTGTAAATTAAAACAAAGTTTGTTATCAATGACAACACCCAGGAATTTATGGTTTGGTACAACTGAAATAGGATGATTATTGTAGAGTATGCCATTAGAGGGAAAATCTTTACTAAAAATCATGGCCTTGCTTTTGTTAGGGTTAATCTGTAGAGCCAACCTGTCATTATAATATATGTACAATTGATCTAGAGCATTGTTTATACTATTTACAGCTCTATCTACATTATGGTCTGTACAATATATTACAAGATCATCTGCAAATTGTAAAATATTTACACCTTCTATATTTACAAAATTAAGAATTTGACTAGTATATATATTATACAGCAGTGGAGATAATGTAGCCCCCTGCATTGTACCTTTGGAGACCTTTCTGGGACCATGGAGAATATTATTATGCCTTATATACAAAGTTCTATCTGTTAAAAAATTAAATAACCAATGGCAAAGTATGCCTGGTATACCAGTGTCAGAAAGAACTTGAACCAAAATGCCAGGGTCTACATTATCAAACGCACCTTGAACATCCAGAAAAACACAAACACTGGACTTATTATTATTATTGGCATATTTCAGATCTGACAAGAGAGAGATGAAGCTGTCAGCACAACTTCGCCCTCTCCGGAAGCCATATTGAACATGTGGAATGATGTTGTTCACCTCTACATAAGACTCAAGACGCATCTTTATCATGTTTTCATTAAGCTTTCCAACACAAGATGACAGTGATATGGGACGATATGAGTTAGGGTCTTCAGGTGGTTTGTCATGCTTAAGTAGAGGGATTACACACTGTGTTTTCCAAGATTCAGGAATTTTTTTTAAGTGCCAAAGAGCATTAAGATTAGCTAATAGTTTCTTTTGAACGGACTGATTTAGGTTTTTGATTAAAATATATGGACAATCATCTAAACCAGGGGTTGTGTTTCGTCTGGATTGTAAACTTGTACAAAACTCACTCCAAGTAAAGGGCTCTATGAGGAAACTGGACTTTTGAAGACTATTATTAATTTGAAAATAACTTTCTAGATTATCAATAACCCTACATCCATTCTGAGATAATTTTTCTAAGAGAGGGACAACAAATTCGTCTTTATATGTTCTATTATTGCATTTTATTCGTTTAAATAACTTGATGTATTTCCAAATAATACTAACAGGTGTAGTTCTGTTAAAAGTATTACAGATGTTCGCCCAACCATTGCGTTTATGTTCTGAAATAGTCTTTTTCTTAACAGCATCAAGTTTTTTATAATTAATGTAATTATCAATGGTTGGATGTCTTCTGTATAGTTTTAAAGCTTCATAAGTTTTAATAACACTCTGTTCACATGTGTCACTCCACCAAGGTGCTGGAGGTTTGCAACGATAGTTATTTGCTTTGACAAACTTTGGCACAGTATCCCTCTTAAGTGTATCAAGCCTTTCGATAAATTCGTCATATGACTGTAATGGATTCTCATTATTAACTTCAAAGTTAGAAAAAGCAGTTAAAGATAGCTCATTGTATTTCGTCCAGTCTGTCTTGTTGTATAAGAATTTTTCAATGGGAGGATTAATTTGGTATCTATCAACGGACAATAAAACACGAGTAAGCGTAGGAAAATGATAGCTCCCCATAGAATCATCATGCACCCACCATTCGCATAGTGGAGTGATTGGAGCACTACAAAAACTGACATCAATAGCCGATGGATTTCGGTTAGGATAATTAATAGTAGTGAAGCTACCATTGTTAAGGACACATAGATCAAATTCATCAATTAAATCGTATAACTGATGACCCCGACTTTTCGTGGTCATACACCCAAATGCCACATGGTGAGCGTTGAAATCTCCAGCCACATATATTGGCTTAGGCAAATCTCTAATTATATTACGCAGTTTACTTATTCTGAAGCTACCATTCGAGGGAGGACAGTATACACATAAAATCGTTAAGTGGTTACCACTTACATATAACGATAATGCCACAGTCTGAATGTCTTGGTAAAATCTGGTTTGAATAATATTATATTTAAAATACGGTTTGATCAAAATTGCTACTCCACCATGCTCATTTTGAGCATTATGATAGTGGGAATTATATCCCGAAATTTTAAAATGCTGAGTATCTTTCAGCCAAGTTTCATTGAGTAGACAGATATCAACATTTTGCTCAGCTAAAAATTTAGACAATAAAGGTTTTTTTCTATGTATACTTTGAATATTGTATTGAGCGATACATAACTGCTGTATGTTCTGTACTGTACTATCCATTAATGTGACAGATTTTTTAAAAGTAAGTCTTTTATGAACAGTGTAGTCACCGGTTCATTATCTGTTTTATTACCCAATTCAACTAAAGTTTGGACCATTGCCATCAGAATATTCTTATTGTTTGCAATTTGAGCCTTAAGTTGAGTTTGGTTCAAGTTGGGTTCAGGCACTGTTTTATTTACATTATTTACAATTTTTACATTTTTATTTAATTTATGTACACTTTGGTTTATTGATGGCAGGGTCTTAACAATGCTGCTCGACTGTGTAGGTAAAGATGGAAAATCAGATGTCATAATTGTATTAGCCACAGAGGCATAAGTAATGTTACCCTTCTTTTCAAGTATTTTTTTCATTTTTATTGGGCAAGATTTGGAAATGGCCAGGTGAGGGCCACTGCAATTGACACAACACAAGTTCTCTTTTTTATCACAGTCTCTGAAATTATGTTCCCCAGCACATATCGAGCAACGTTGTTTACCATTACAAATTTTCGCAGGGTGGTTGAACTTGAAGCACCGGAAGCATTGCTGCAACGGCGGGACATATTCAAACACCCTGAACGAAAATAGGTCATATTGGATGTTGTCGGGCAGAACATTTGATAGGAAAGTTATACTAACAGTCTCAAGACCTACAGTACTTTGACCGACTTTTTTCGTGAATCTTCTCACTGAAATAATTTCATAGATCGAAGACAGTTTTGTATATAAGTCCTTGTTCGAAATGTTGGTAGGCACATATCGGATGATTCCAGTTTTTTCTATTTGCGCTGCAGGAATATGCGCCTTCAAGTTGTGCTTTGTTAAAAAGTCTGTATTTGTGATGAAATTATTTGCAGTGTTGTATTGCTTAAAAACAACTGCAATTTTGTTGGCATTGACTCTATGTAAAGCTACTACACCTTTCACTTCCGAAGTAAAAATATGATTCAAGTAAACTGGGCTTTTATTTCCAAGTTTAACCTGTTGGTCCTGGCTTTCAACAAACACTTTGAAGTCTGTATTTGTACAATGTTCAGGATAAAGTCTCAGATAACCTGGCTTAAAAAACGGAATAAAGACATCCTCACCGCCGCCTGCTTCAGGTCCACATTCCTTCGAACCTCTTTTACGAAGAATTTTGGAACGTTTCGGGGTTCCACCTGGATCCTCCGGTTCGTTCATTTTATTATTTAACAAAATGTACAATTATTTACACTATATATATATATACTATATAAAATAAGTTTTGGTAATATTTTAACGAAAAACAGTAAAAATATTTAAATCGACCGCCACGTTTGGAGTTCCCGCCAAAAAAAACTGATTTTTAATTCGATTTTCACATGCCACAGACTAAGCACGCAATATCGTTTACATACATTATCACAATTGGTATTGCAATTGTTGCTGTTGCTGTGTGTGTGTGTGTGTTGTTAATACGATAATATCCCAATTGCCTCCGAAACTCCTTTCAAACAACCAGCCATTTTTTCCGATTTCCTTTAGTGCTTAAAAATATATATAAAGAGAATTAGGTATTTTAAAAAGAATACTATTAGGTTTTCATGAGATGAATCTCTGGTGGACAGAAAAACTTGGGGACACCTTGCTCCGTACTGGGCGGTTTCTGTCGCGATGAGAAGCGATGTCAGTTCCCTTGGACCACCTCAGAAACGGACGGTTATATGGTTGATAATTTCAAAACGCAACACCAATTTTGGCGAGCACCATGAGAGATTAAGATGAACTCAAAATTCAAATCGACTTTGCGATCTTTACGGCCTCCGGACAAGTTTTAGAACATGAAGTAATGAAAGCTTAACCAAAACGTAACAACTTAATATTATTATTATATTAATTTTTGATTAAAACGCTGTGTAGCTGTCTGGTGATACGATGACATCCCGTTTTGTTGCTTACGAGACTTTATTCTATATTTGTACATTTGTTTAGAGTTTTTTTTTTGTATTTTGATGAAATAATTAAGTAAAGAAGCAGGGTAAAGGGTTAAAATTTGAACTAAAGAAGGGGTGTGTTTCACTCGTAAAAAAAATTAAGAGACAGATTATGCTACAGTTACAGAGTAGTTAGCTTAAATTTAATTACAGGTGGATTAGCTTAGTATAGATTATACACGACACACAGACACGGCAAAGGCCTTAACTCGCTGAACACATTTTAATTTAGTGTTCAAACAAAAAAACAACGTGGGATTAAGCCGTATCAGTAGCTTTCATTATGTTTGCGACTTGCGAAAACCGTAGAAAATACTATTCAACACATATGTTCTATAGTCAGTCCAAAGCTTCAGGTGGATCTAATTGAATCTCTTCAGTCTATGTGGGCGCTTTAGGTTCGTCCCACCCACGCATTAGACGAATTATATCCGGTCAGACGGGGTTGAAGGCAAAGCTATACGGCAAAGCTAAGCACGGCTTTTTGGTTGAACAGATTTTGTTTGGGCCCTGGGCTTTAATCTCTAGATTGGCACCACAAATTTTGTGGCCATACAAGGCTATTATCATCGCAGTTTTATGATAAGGATTGAGAGAGAGTGAAAGAGAGAGAGTGTTCTTTATTATACACTAAAAAAACAATGGGAAACATTAAATACAAGAGAGTACAATTGGCAGTGTTATTGCTAAGAGCGATCTCTTCCAGACAATCATCTGGTGGACAAGAATCATTTGGAAATTAATTAGGCGCGGTGTACCAATCCACCTATATGCACACAGCCATACATATACATACACAAATTGAATGATACGTATGTAGGGAATGTCGGGCCATTATTATTGGTTTCTTTGTCAATTGCCTCAAAACCGCGTGCTAATCACAAGCGGAATATAATGTATCCACAAATTAATCCATGTCACGCCAAAAGCATTCGCTGATGTAACCGAAGTCACCTCGGCGGCTGATGAGTTCGAGTTGACGCGAAGATTCCTTAAAGTAGGTCGTCCACGACGAATATGATATCGGCAAAAAAAGCGATTGATAAAAATTCCCGAAGGCTTCGGAAGGCGACGGCCGCATTTTTTACGGAGGAACAGAAAAGGGGCGGACCCATCGTGATGTATTGCTTTGCGATGAGCCGATCGATCGAGCGGATTTAAAATAGAATTATACGTCGGTACGGGTTGGGCTTTGCTTGACGTTGATGCACTTAGGGTGGACTCGACCAAACTTAAATTTATACACAAGTAACTATACGAGGAATAACCTACTCCATAATTTTAATCTCGAGTAAATCCATAGACGTTTTTCCACGTAAACGATAGTATACTTGCGCTGGGAATAACAATACGCGAATAGCAGAGTGAATGGTGAACGAAAATAAAATCCGGCAAATAAATGTTGTCGTTTTTTTTTTTTTATTGCTTAGGTGAGTGGACGAGCTCACAGCCCACCTGGTGTTAAGTGGTTACTGGAGCCCATAGACATCTACAACGTAAATGCGCCACCCACCTTGAGATATAAGTTCTAAGGTCTCAATTATAGTTACAACGGCTGCCCCACCCTTCAAACCGAAACGCATTACTGCTTCACGGCAGAAATAGGCAGGGTGGTGGTACCTACCCGTGCGGACTCACAAGAGGTCCTACCACCAGTAAAAACGGTATATAACGGCATAGTGTAAGAGCATACAAGGTGTCAACTTGATTTTGCCGTATTTTAGTGTGAAAGAGTAGCTGTTGTGTAAGGTATCTAGCTGTCAAACGTATTAATTTTATTTGTTGTTTGTTTGAGAGAATTGTCAAGTTTTGTCGTATGGTTTTATCTTTTTTCGTTTAAACGTTGCATTATACAATTCCAGACTATTAATAATAATTTAGTGCATTGCGTTGACTTGAAATGAAAACAAAATAAATATTTATGAAATGACAGAAATCAGATGATTGGACTGACTGACGCCATTACATTATCTATATATTAATACGTGAAGCAAAAACTTTGTATCCCTTTTTACGAAAATTGCGCGGACGGAGGAGTATGAAATTTTTCACACTTATAGAGAATATAGAGAAGAAGTGCACAATGCTAATATTTTTTTAAAATAATGCTTAAAAGATACATTAAATCAAAAAAGAAAACATTACACACACTACATACCATGTATTTGACGCACACACGCATGCATACTATTTATTGTCAAACTTTTGTTCTTGACGTTTGTTGTCAAATTGAGATTAAATATTGTTTGTCTTTGTTAATATTTTTTATAGTGTAGTTTTGACGAAATTTGTGATTATAGAAGTATAAAATAGAATCATAATAGTGTACAAACTTACAATTCCAATTAATTATAGTCGAATTTCGACTACTGCGGGACCTCTAGTTCTAGGAATAGCTCTGTTATTCCGTGCGAAACGGCGGTATAGTAACAATTCCCGAATAGGCCCACTATTGTTAGAATTGTAGATGGTAAAACGTAAAATTGATTTACTCTCGATTAACTGACGAGTTATTCTAAGAATAAGATTTACTTTTGTTTGGTCGAATCCACCCTTAGTGATGAAATGTCTTTATGGTATTCTCGTTGAAGATTTTATAATGCCGCATTACACATGCGATCACGGAAAGCCACTTACATGTAGCAAACTCTCGCTAGCTTTGGTATTTTAAAAAATTGGTCAAAGACTTATAACTTCGTACAAGTTTATGTGTAATAAAAAGCAGTTTCCATCATTTCATCCCCTTATACCATTGTTATCCCCATTTATTATGTCGTTATCTATAATTTAAGATGTATACATATTAGCAATACGTTTGATCTCAGAGCCTGCCTGTTAGTAGGTCGCAGGTAGGAAAGGCGTTGCCGTTATTTTTTTGTAACAAAAAACTTACAGAATCTTCTGCTTCTGATACAAGGTGGCGCATTGATCTAATTTGACTGTGTAATCTTTGTATTTCAATGCATTTAACGATAATATAAGTTAACTTAATCAAGTATTCGAGGCATTAGAAGCCATCGTCGAAGATGTCTGTAGATGGATGATTGTCTGATAGCCCGCGACCGAGGGAGCTGACGGGGTCGTATCATCCGCAATTACCCGCAAAGAGCCCGTAGTGTGGTCAGTTCGACTCTTACGTAGCACTGCCCTCCTGGTTTTGTCCGATCCCCCAGATTCACTCTCGGCGCTTTTAGACATCTCAAGCACCGGTCACCGTTTTCGTCGAGCTCGACGAGCGAACTAACACATAGACACGTTTCTCGCCGGATTTTCTCCGTGGGTCGCGATTCCGATCCGGTAGTAGATTCTGCGAAGCACTGCTCTTGCTAGGGCTAGTGTTGGCAAACTCTCTCAGGTTGAGCTCGTGAGCTCACCTACCCGTCCGGGCGTAGCTGGAATAGCCTCTTAGGCTACCAGCGTATAGGTAGGGGAAAATAATTTGTTGGGCGATGATCCGGAGATCATCTTCCCACGATATCCCGGCCAACAAAGGCCTTGTTCCTTTAACTGAGCCGTTAGAAACGGAAAATACGACGTTATTTTCAAAAGTCTTGTCATTTATAATATTTTCTAGCCGTTTGGTTAGCGATGCTGTGAACAATATACGTAACTTGTGCAATATAGAAGGCCAACGCGAGAAGTTACGGTCGCGAGCCTTTATTAAACAACTATTTTAATAAAGGCAGAAGATTCGTTACGGCAGTTTCTTGTTTGGATCTTATTACGTTGTGGTATTGCGATGTTTTCGACGCGAGTTATCCGATTTACAAAGATCAATTACATGCATGCACAACGAGAAACACTCGAGAACGGCTCGCCCTATTTGACTGTTTATTTATGGATTCGTAATTGTTTAGGATAAGGTGGTTATGTTTGTGGGAAAATTTTCGTTCGATTCGTTAATATGTAACTATTATTTGTATGTATGTTTGTATATATGTATGTATATGTATATGTGATTGTGTATATATATATACTTTTTTGTGTATGTATTTGTAACT